ATTTATTCTGAGATTAATAAATTTATTACTTATTATGACAGGCTTCTTCTATTTTTTTATATTTCTATTTTTGTGTAAATGCTCTGGCTTGCTTGTCAACTGAACTTTCCTGCTGAGGGACAATAAAATAAATTTCTACTTCTTTTTATTCTTTTGAGAACTGGACTTCGGGACCCTACATTAAATCCAAACAAAATCCAATCTATATGTAATTTTAATGTGACAAATATCTTAAGGACATAAATTTCACAATATAATGAAAACGGTTATTTGTGACATTGCACTGTTGTATTTTGATTTAATCGCCTTAAAGAGCTGCATTAGAAGTATGTTTTACTGTTAAATGCAATGGGAAACCGTAATAAACTAGCTTACTTATACAATTATTATGACAATTATTATGTATTTTATGTATTTAGAGTTAGAATACGAACACAAAATGTGTTCAGATTTTGAGGTCCTTGAAAGCAGCACCACGCACAAACGCCTTGTGTCTCTTTGGGAATTGACGATGAAGTAAAAGTATTTCTTGCTCCCACTCGGAAATATGTCCTGGATTAGTTATATCAGTTGTAACGATGTATTTCTACATTCTTCACCTGCTGATCGGACGGCTTTCAGGAACTGTGCAGGCTGGACAGTGCAGCACTTCTCACCGCTGCAGCCAGAGGATCCAGTCCCGACCAGACGAGGGCGGGGTTAATGAAGAAGAAGAAGAAGAAAAAAAAATAGAAGTTTCCTGGTGACCTACGACAACACAGGAAGGTAAAGTTAGCTTAGCTTCGGTCCAAAGTAACGTTTTAACCCTCCAAATGCAGCCCGGATTATTAGAATAACTCATAGCGTAACCTTACTCAGAGTGAATATAAAGTAGGCCGCAGCTGTTTACGCTTAACATAAGTTTGATGAAACAGCTGGAAAAACCTGTGGATGTTAGCTGACGAATGTTGTATCCGTTTATGTCATAACGGTTCAAAGTTTAAAAAGTACAGCTACGGTTTGAATAGTTAGGAAATTATAATAATTGAAAGTACGGATTCATTTACAGTGGTTTGTACCTGCCTGGTTAGTGGTTAGCGGATGAAAACTGCGGCTAAGTATGTTAGCTTTGGTTATTTGGAGGCGCGTGTTTTTAGCACCGAGAACAATTTAACCGGGCGGGGTCGTACCCGCTGTAAAAAAAAAACACACCCTAAAGCTAATATTTTACATACATTTATTGGCTTTTCAGAATGTTTAACACAGATTCCATTGATAACATTTTATGTTGTCAGTTCACGTCAAAAAGAAACCCGTCATATTTGTGTCTTATTACACATGACAAATATTTAAATAATGGATTCATCACATTTAAACGTTTCAGGCCTATTCTGATGAGGGGAAGACCAGAAATGGACTGAATTGGATTGCATAGGACTGAATGATTTGCAACGTGCAAATGGCTTTTGTAAAAATAAACAAAAATGTAAATAAAAGTAACCCAATCTGAACTGAATTGAACAAGTTTTCTGCATATTTGCTAGGTTGTTGCGCAATCCTAATTGTTTATTATAAAATTAATGTTCTGTACTGTAACTAAGAGATTTATTTTTGTAACTAAGAAATCTCTTACAGAACAGAACATTAATTTTATTTTTTTAAGCTTGATACCTTAAAGAATTTGAAAAAAGTTATAAAAAACATATCCTATGGCCAATTCCACTTCGCTTGATGACTAGACTGACTGCAGAGAGACAAATCTAAAGCACTACGACATGTTTTTTAAATTTTATTTTGTTTCCATTGTAGATGAATGTTGGCGTAGCTCACAGTGAGGTGAACCCCAACACGCGGGTGATGAACAGCAGGGGAATATGGCTCACCTATCTGTTACTGACGGTGGTTCTGCACATTGTTCTGCTCAGCATTCCTTTCTTCTCGGTGCCGCTCGTCTGGACGCTCACCAACGTTATCCACAACCTGGTCAGTCTGACACCTGAACACAGAATAGAAATGATTTGATCTGTTGATAGATTATTGTGTGAAAATCATCGTTCCCTTCTTTACTTCAGCTTCTTTCACAACATGCTATTGCTATGCTGAACTTTTTACATTTTGTCGTGTTACAACCACAAACTTCAATGTGTTTTTTGGGGGGTTTGTAGAAGAAAGCTTCTGGGTTTTCAAAATCCTTTACAAATAAAATCTGAAAAGTGTGGTGTGCATTTGTATTTAGTTTGTGTCAGTCAATACTTTGAAGAATCAGCTAATTTTACAGTTTTACCTGCAAGTTTTGATGGCATATTTTATGTAAATACAAGTGAACTCTTGCTACTAGGTTTGTTTTTTTTCTTTCTATTTTTTATTTGTCCAGATGTTGATATTTATGCAACATTTTCCTCCAGTTAGCTTCTATTTTGTTGCATGACAAAAAATGAAACTGAATAATTTTTCTAGGCATAGCTTATATTTACCGTAGATCTTGACGGATTTGTTTACGTTTATATTTTCTCAGTTGCCTTTTGTTTTTCCAGCCAGCCTTTATTTCAGGTGTTTTCCTCTTGCTTCTGTTATTTCACACTCATTCAGACCACATGCCAGCGCGTGGCGGTGAACCAGCAACCCCCCTCGCTGCTACAAACACGAATACGAATAAATATTGTCACATGATTCGAGTAACAACTGCTGAAAAGTTTTATTGGAATTTGGCCCTTCATGTTTTTTCCCCAAAAACGGTCTATGGAGCAACTTCCCTGTAATAACTTTAAATTTAAATGAAAGAATTAACACGAGAAATGTTTTATTTGAGTCTTTTGTAAAGTTTTCTGCAAATTTTCTGGCTTTTAGAAGTTGCTTGTAGATGCTCAAGGACAGTTTATGCACATTTAATGGATATTAAAGTATGTTGGTTTAAGCACAGCAAGTACTTTATGAGTGTACTTGCATTAATTTTTTTAATTATTATTATTTTACTAGTTGAAAAAGGTCTCAAGACAATATTATTGTTTATTACAATAATTTCTGGGACAATTTATGGTCCAGCAAAATGTTGTCTTGAGGTATTTTATTTAAAAATCAGTTTAATCAGACAGATTTCCAGTAGGGGCGGAAATGTATCATATACATTTTTTTATTATAAAAAATTTCGGCATCATCGTCTCGCTAAATTTCAATCAGTGTTAATAACAAACAAAAACTGACAGCATTGTTGGAAAAGTTATTTTTACTTTTTTCTCCACTGTTTCACGAAGGCATCAATAAATAAATATCAGTAAATTTTAAAAAAAAAGTAATTAAATGCAGTTACTGTGTGCAGCTTAGTGATATAAATCACATCTTATAACAAATGGGAACTTTTTTCAGGAAACATATTTATGGTGTTATGAAAAGAAAAGTAAAAAAAAAAGTTTTTAAAAAAAAAATCATACTTTATATTGTAATCACTATAATTTCAAATCAGTTACATATATTTCAGTTTGATGCTAGTTACCAAACAATGTAGTCAAATTGAGTTTATTATTCAAATTAATTAAAAAGTTTTGGTGACTTGTCATGACGTGTCATTCGGTAAATAATGACACTTTTAATGCAAAGTTGACTCTTTTAATGGACTTTTAATGCTAATTTTAATAAAACTTTGCATTAAAATGGTAATTATTGACCAAATAATGGACTTTTAATGCAACCTTTAGTGCAACTCTGCATTAATAGTGTCATTATTTACTGAGTGACACTTCATGACAACAGTTGTAAACATTCATAAAGACTCCTTCATGTTCCTGACTGTTACGTCATGTCAGTCTTATGCAAACCCCTTTAAATTAAGTGCAGCTAAAGTTTTTCTCAAAGGAAACAGCAGATTGCATTGAGTTATTCACATGTAGAGATGGTGGACAGTCGATTGCATTTGCAGCATGTTTAAAGTTTTGGCTCCTGATTGAGTTAGGCTCTCCGAATGTACAGAAACTCTCAGGCTGAAATTCCTCAGCTTTTCAACGTTTAATTAAACGAATACAGTTTTCTTCCCCCTTAGGAGTCAAACTGAGCTTCTGTTTCGAAATAAATGTGTTTGTGATGGGTGACAGACGGCTCCTGTGCTCCTTTCTCCAGGCGATGTACCTGTTCCTGCACACAGTGAAGGGCACTCCCTTCGAAACTCCAGACCAGGGCAAAGCACGTCTGCTCACGCACTGGGAACAGATGGACTACGGCGTCCAATTCACTTCTTCACGCAAGTTTCTCACCATCTCACCAATTGTTCTGTGAGTATCTCTTACCGGTAAAATGCAAAAATTTGTTTTTTTGTGCCAGACACAATTTCACTTTCATTTTGACGACCCAATCAAATCCGTCGGTTATTTTATTAATTGTTTCCTTGAATGGACGTATCCCAACAAAGGGCTGCCAGTGTGCTAACTGATGGGGATGTTGAGATTAAATTAAACTTGGGAAAATTCTGAAATTCTGGGAACAATTTTGGGGGAAAACCAGAAGGGGAAAGCAGGGCCCTAAAGAAGCTTGGACAGTAGATGAGTAACAGAAAAAACCAGCAGAGAGAGGATTTTACCAACATTAAAATTAGGGCTGCAGCCAACAATAACTTTAGTAATCGATTATTCTGGTGTTTAATCAGGTAAAAAATTAGCAGATTTGGCAGAGTTTTCATTTAACTACCTAACCCTTTTTGTACAATATTAAAATAAATTATTTTAATATTCAGTTCGTTTTTTAAATGGGAAAATAAACATTTTATTGCCTAAAATGCAATAACAGAATATCTGAACATTTGTAGCAACAGCTAAAAAAAACTTCTCAAACATCTACATGTTACCTCAATACAGTTTAGTGCTAATTTGTTGATTAATTTTTGAAATTACTGATTTTTTTTTACCAAGTGAACTTAAAATTATTCCAGTTTTGGGTAGAACATATTTACAGACACATTTTTTTAAATCTTAAATGCAAAATGTTTATATTTTTAGAAACTTTTGCCTCATTTATTCATTTAAGTATATTGTTTTTTTCAGCAAATACTCCAGTTAATGCTTAATTGATTACTAAATCAGTTGACGATTATTTCAATAATTCATTAATCACGATTAATCTGATTAATCGTTTCATTAATCCACAGCCTTTACGTAATACTTTACAGATTCAAGTCTTTCAAGAAGTACTTCTAACATCAACATGATCTGTGTTTCGGATTCATCGATTTAATAATTAGACTTTTATTAGATTTTTATTTTCACAGTTTTTTTTATTAATATCTGCTCGGAGTTTGTCGTTCTTTCAGCAAATTACCTTTTTTGAGTCTGTATACACCGGTTAATGATTAATCGATGAATAAATTAGTTGACAATCATTACAATAATTGATATAGGCTGATAGTTATCATGTGTCGGTAATCTAAACCAGGGTGAGCAAGTCTCGTTCCACAGCCAGTATGCTGCATGCTTTCAGTCACACAGCAGGTCTTGATTTGCTGAAATCTGATTGTATATTTTAGTGGTTCATACCAATTAAACTCGACCGCAGTCAGACTTCTGTGTGAACGGTTTACAACCCCAAAGTGACCCACATGCACAGGGGAAGTAATGGATGCTGCCATTTTCGGATCAGTTTTAAAGGGAACCAACAGCATCGTCACAACATCATAACAAAGCCAGGAGAGCTCATGAAAAGAAAGCACAACCTATAGTAATGGCCTTTAGTATTGATTGCAGCTTCTGTAGAGGAATTAGTTTGAGTGTGCAGTTAGTTGGGATTGTGATGCACTTCATGTAGATATAGAAATACGATTACAGATTATGACTTTAAGTTAGTCCACTTGGCCTGTCAGGAACAAATTTTACTGGGCGATAAATTGACCCAGAAATTTTTGCAATAAACAATAATGTGGTTTTGAAACAATTTTCAAGTAATATATTGATAATGGCATAATAATGGAAGCTGTCAAAGACCAATAAACTGGAACTGGAAGGAATTTTAAATCTCCAAAAAAAACCACAACAACCAAAAAATGGAAATAAAAACCACAAACCAAAACCACAAGTAAAATTGATTATCTGTAAAAAAAAAATATTAATGATCAAAATGGGAATTATAGAGCTTATTTTAATTGATCATGTGTTTAGTTAATTGCTTACAGGGTTTCCCCAAGAAAACCTGCTAAGCCCGGTGCTCAGGGCGTGTTTTTGAGTTAAACAATGCTTAAAGTTGACAGGACATTTTAAAATATAATTTGATAGTTATGCATTTTTGGAAGACTGGAAGATTAACACCTAAACACAAACTATAAAGTCTTTAAAAAAGGCAATCATTAAAAAAAACAAACTAATAAATAAACAAAGTTAAGTCTGGTGGCCCGCCAGGCTTACAGTGAGGGAAACTCTGGCTTATTGCGGCAAAACCGCGAGAGGTGTAACTGTTTTACTGTTCTCTTATTTAAAAGAGAACATATTTTACTCATACTGAGATAAATGTAGTTATAACAAGTATTTTAATCGCGTTTAACGAGACGTAAAACTTTCTCAATTAAACTTTGTTGTTTAATTGAGAAAGTTTTCTCATTTGAATGAGAAACGGCTCCTGAATTTATATCAAATCTCTGGCAGTGAAACGCTTCCGTAATCCGTGACAAAAATATAAAAATGTGTTTCCTTTTCCTTCTTTTCCTCTTAACAATTCATTTGTATATCCTCCTCTTTTATATTTTTCTAAAAAAGCAACCTGCTGTTTTTAACCTGTGCATTTTGTGAGGAACTGGCAGCAGATGACAGATCAAACACACTTTTGGTTGCATCGAATGTACAAGAAAAAAAGTGTAATTTAAAGTGGATTCATAAAGTCACCAGACACAAAGGGGAATGCACCTTGCCCAGCGGCTTTGTAACGCATCAAGTGTTGGTGTAATGTTCCTAGTTTGGGTCAGCCATCACACGTGGGCAGCTGTCGGTTTGTGTTCACACCTGGCTTTGACATTCTCCCCCACACGTGTGCTGAGTTACCTGCTCGATGCAAATCAGCCGACTCTACGTCACAGCCAGCCAGCCGCTGGGCGCAAACAGGATGTCATCAAGACTTTGACTGTCGCTGTAGCATCAGCAGAACATTCAGCAGGCATCAGCAGAACATTCAGCAGGCTTTTCAAAGCGTGCATGTAAAACTGTGTAGGTCTCTGAGTATCAGGGGAGACGATAACGGTTTTATTTCTTAAAGCAATGATGATACAGATGTCTGTCGCAATAAATCAATGTGAAAAAGTTAATTAAAACAAATGCAGAATTTTCATTTGAATGATTTATTGCTTTTTTCTTTTCTCTATTTCTATCAAAAACTGAATGACAAAACTCTTCAGTCTGGTGTTTTGGACTCAACTATCCTTTTTTTTAAGGTCAATTGCGTTTACAGACTTAATAATTTATTTGATTTGTTGTTTCTGTTGTTTTGTTTGTTTGTTTTGGATATTTAAATTGTCTTCCAAATGTTTCTTAGAAATTAAAAGCCTCTTGGTCTTTGAGAATGTCTTCTTGCAAAATGGTCTCAAAACAAAAATATAGTAATTTATCGTAATAACTGAGACAATTTATCGTCCAGCAAAATTTATCATGAAAGAATAAGTGGACTTCTGTTTGGAAATTAAATTAAGCTGCTGATTTTAAATCTGACTGTTTGAGATCAGGATTTTTTTTTATTTTTTAGATTTTTATTCTAATCCCAGCTTCCCGACATGCAAACATATTCACCTCTCTGTTTCCTTTAGGTTCGAACCACAAACTTCATCCTTTACTAACATCATTTTATAAATTAGAAACTAAAGACATTGTTATACAAACAGGCTTTTTTATTAACCTTTTATGTCAGTTTTTATATTCTTGTCTTTTTTAAGCATTTTGTCATTTTGTCTGTGATAGATGCTGTATAAATACATTTTACCTACTTATTTACTTATGATCCATAATTTTCCTTCTAATTCACAACAATGCGCTACAAAAACTCACTAAAATAAACTGAATGAGTTTTAGTACAGTGACAAAATGTGGAAAAGTTCAAGGGGTATGAATATTTTTGTATATTTCGTTGCATTCGCGTTAATTCTGACCCGTGTTTCCCTTTGCAGGCACATTCTTGCCAGTTTCTACACGAAATACGATGCGACGCATTTTTTAATCAACACATGCTCCCTGATGACCGTCCTAATCCCAAAGCTGCCGCAGCTTCACGGAGTACGGATATTTGGCATCAACAAATACTGACGCACCCTAAAACCAGGACTTTATCCACAAAAACTGGACTTAAAGTTGTTCTGCTCCTGCTGAACTGTTTTCTGAGTAACAGTTTGAGGAGACGGAGATAAAAACTGAGGACTACCCTGAACGCCTGGAGAAACTGAATGCACTGTTTCATCAAAGTGTTTCTCATACTAAAACAAGATCCGTTGCTCGTGTTTTTGAAGGTTAAAAATGCACTGGTTTTATTTTGTGATGTTTGTTCACCTTTTTTCTTTTTCTTTTTGCACTGGCTGCAACTGTGTAAAGCTGAGTTTATTTGCCATAATTATAAACCAGTTTTTTTCTACTCAATCCAGCATGCATTTACATGCCTTCAATAAATATTTTACTGTGATATACAGAAAAAAGTAAAGTGGATATCATCTTAGAAACCTGCCAGCTCTGAATACAGGACAGGATTTTGTAGAATCCACTTGGTCCAGGGTTTCTACAAGTTTCACAAACTCAAATTTGAGACTTTTTAAGACTATTCTGAATGGATTTTAAGACCTGTAGCAGAACAGAAATGTACAAAAGAAAACTGCAAATAAATGAATCGAACCGTTTGGCAACAGAAGTGAGCCAATGGCAAGAATGAACGTCGTCCAGTCAACTGCAGATAAATAAATTTCTACTTACCCATAATGGATGTAAAAAAGCTAGCTAGCTGATTAACAGCTAGTTATTAGCTACTTATGGTTGTTACCACTTTAAATCATCGTAATGCAGTGAAGATGTCTGTGCACATCTCAGTTTGTGTAGCAGTAAAATCCTGCAAGGAAAATGAAAACTACATGGAATGAGGTTAAATAGTAATGCCACAACAAATTTAAGACCGGCGATTAACATATTTAAGGCCAACTTATTGTTTTTCAATCAATTTAAGACATTTTAAGGTCTTTATTTTATATTAATAAATTTAAGAGAATCCTCTTCATGCTGTTAGATGGCATTAAATCATTTAATCTTCTTTTGGGATAAATATATTATTTTCAGGGTTTATGGAGGTTTCACCTACTCAAATTTAAGATTTTTTAGGACCATGTGAATACAATTTAAGACCTATATCACAAGAGATGTACACAGCAAATGAAGGGGACTAAAACTAACATTTCCGGGATCAATTTGTGGCACTTGGCAGTAGCTTTGTGCTTTTCACATGTCATATAGCCATCTTCCATTAGCATCTTGTTACTGTTAGCCTTAACAGCTTTGAGTCACAGAACGCAGTGAGTGAAGATTTCAGAGCAAAAGTCTTGTAAGAAAAAACAGAATATATTACAGTAATTAGTCCTACCACAAGCAAAATTTAAGACCTCTGATTGATGTTTTTAAGGCCAACTTATTGTTTTTCAATTAATTTAAGACATTTTAAGGCCTTAATTTTATATTGATAAATTTAAGAGAATCATCTTCATGGTCTCAAATGACATTAAATCTCATATTTAAGATTTCTTTAGGACCATTACGAATAAAATTTAAGACCTTTATCACAAGCAATGTAAAAAAAAAAAAAAGATGGGGCCAGGGGGAACCAAAACAAAAATTTCTGGGGTCAATGTGTGGCACTTGGCAGTAGTTTTATGGTTTTTCACATGGCATATGGACATGTGAGCAGGCCATATGCCTTATCAGAAGGCATAAGGCCATGCGAGAAGGCTGTATGTCTTCTCGCATGGCCTTATGCCATGTAAAAATATGTCCATGTGACATCTTTCATCATCAGTGAGTGGAGATGTCAGTGCAAAAGTCCCATAAGAAAAAAACAGAGAATATATAACATTAATTAGTTCTGCCACAACAAAATGTAAGACCTGTGATTAATGTTTTAAGGCTAATTTGCTGTTTTTCCAATAAATTTAAGACATTTCAAGGCCTTAATTTTAGATACTTAAGACTTTGTAAGCATCCCATTGGTCCCAATTTTCAAGCTGTGGGGAAGTCCAGACGCTTTACATGAGGAGGCCGACACAGTTTTCTCCATATGCTCATATATCCAAGGGGTTCCCCCCCTTCCGCATTCAATAGAGTCCTGTGTGCATTGGAGAAAGGGTTTCCCTGTTTGTAATGCATGTTTCGGGGAAGTAGTTCAAAGGGAACACAGCGCAGTGTGAATGTTGCCTGGGTTGAGCTGAGCCTGGGAAATACATGCAAATATTGCTCGCTGTATCAGCTGTTTTAAACCTGATGAGTAATTGTTTGCAAGCATTTCCAACGGTGTTGATCGCTGCGTGGACACACGCAGGTCATAAAGAAACCTGCAGTGGGATTCTCGCTGCTGCTGCCTTTAAATGTCACAGTGTCCCCAAGATGTCACTGAAACTAGAGTGGGAGAGTAAAAGAGAAAGGATAAACGTTGGGTTTTCTTTTTCAAACGTAGATTGTGCTTGATGAAAGATAACGTTATCTGCTCTGAAAAGCTGTTTTTCTTTTTTTTTTATTTATTCCTGGCTCAGCTTCTGCTTTGAATTTAACATCAGTCATACCGACAGTTCCTGAGCAACAGATTTAAAAAGTTTCAGTGCACAGCAAGTTGTTTGTTTAAAGTTTTGAATTTACTTGGAAAGACAAATATGTTTTAGGTTATCAACAGATATGAAAAAGGTCAAAAATTTCTCCTGCGTTATCTTTGATCTTGTTATGCAGATTACCAAGCACAACTTTTTAAAAAATGTGGTAAAAACATGAGTTTTACTTAGAAATCAACACTCAACAGACATTTCATTTATTTGGGGCTTTGATGCATTTTGAAAGTGTATTTTATTCAGGCTGTAATGACTATGCACCATATATTTATGGATCAATGAGAATAAAATCAAGAGTTGGATGCTAAAGATTAAATTTATGGATTTTTTTCCCTAATTGAAATAAAACATACAGACATAAAGCTGCACTAGATATTTGAAAAATCTTGAGAGAGTTGGTTTAAATGCGATGATTTCCTTGGTTTTAAACGAGAGTCTAACATTAAATTTTGGACTTTAAATTCAATAATATGCTCCTTTCTCCATTGCAAAACACATTTTTTAACAATATATTTGTTTTATTGTCAAGTAGCCACTGAAATGAGGTGAAACTGAATAACTAGGCGCTTCCTGTGCAGAAAATGACTTTTCAATAGAAACCACTAGAGCCAAAAATGTTTCAGGTAGTTTGTGATTAAACAGAACATTCAAGACACAGACCCTCAGCATGATGCAACCACCACCTTCCTGCTGAGAAAATTATGGGCAACCTCAGGCATCCTCATTGTGAGACTGCTTTGCAAAGAGTGTCTTCAGTCAGAGGCTTCTTCGGGGCCGCTGTGAGAGTGACTGCTACAGGAGATCCTTCATGGCCACACAGCCATAAGTATCTACATAACCTTACATAATGAGTTACATCATCATTTAATTTTCCTTTGTGGTAAAGTATTTTCAGGGTTTATGTTGAAATTTAAAACTTTTTAAGACCATTATGAATGTAAGACCTAAAATCACAAGAGATATAAAAAATAAATGCAGGGGACCAAAACTGTGAAGTTTGTTTTTTTTTGTTTTTGTTGTTGCTCTTGCAGCAGCTTTGTGTTTTTCACATGGCTTATGGCTCTCCAGCTAGCTAACATTAGCAGCTTGTTGCCGGTAGCTTTAGCCGCCTGAGTCACAGAACGCGTTGAGTGAAGATGTCAGGCAAACTTTTGCTTTATAGAAAAGTCAGAGAAAAAAAAAACCTTCGTAGAAAATGTGGCATTTAAATAGTCTTGCCACAACAAAAATTTAAGACCTGAGATTAGCATATTTAAGGCCAACTTACATTGTCTTTAATGAATTTAATACATCTTAATGCCTTAGTTTTAAATAAATGAATTTAAGACTTTTTAAGGATGTAATAGAGCAAACTTTATCTGGTCTATCCAATAAATCTTTCCAGAATAAATTCAGTTGAAGCTTGGATAAAATTCATAATGTAAACAGGACCGTGATCCCAAATACACATAAAAACTAGTTTTGGAAAGAAGGGTAGTAGGAAGATTTTAGAAAACCTTCACTGCTGAAAAATTGTGAAATATCCTTTAAAGTCAGAAATATGCTGCAAATTTAAAACACTCTACCAATTTTGACAAGTGGTGCAATATCAGGCCAAAACTCTGCCAAAAGCTTATTGTTACTTTCACTTACATGTGATGTTGAATATATTTGAACCAGAGTTGATTTAAGATAATTATGGCAATAATTCTCAATAAATTCAAGTTAAGGCAGCAAAATAAGTTAAAAATATATTCAAGTTGTATAATCATTCTTCCCTGGATTAACTGTTTAAATTATTAAAAAATAAACATGTTGTACCAGTGAGTAGTGTATGTAAACTTCTGGGCATGAAGCTGTTTTTGTAAAGAGGAAATTCAACAGATTTACGACGCATCCGAAAAATATTCACAACGCTTCACTTTTTCCACCTTTTGCTATGTTACAGTCTTATCCCAAATTATATTAAATTAATCTCTCTCCTCGAAATTTTACACACAAATAGCTCATTATGAAAATGTGGAAAATAGTTTTTGAGTGTTTTGAAAATTTATTAAAAATAGCAAACCAAAAAATTGCATTTATACAAGTATTCTAGAATTGCACTAATTATTTTAGTTGTCAATTATTCTGACGTTTAATCAGATATAAAAAATGTCATTCGTGTGGATTTCTCATTCAACCACTTGAGACTTTTAAAATATATTAGAAATGCATTTAAAACATAGAATTAAATAATTAGATTCTTTTTTAAATAAGAAAAACATTTTATTGCCTAAAATTTAATAGCACAGCATTCCTTTAGTGAATACTTGATTATTTATAGCACAGAATGACCTGCAGATAAAAAAATACATTAACGTGTGAAAAGTTCAACACTTTCTGCGTAACATCAATAAAGTTTAGGCCTAATCTGTTGATTATTGAGTCGATTAATTCTATAGCAAAAGATGATTAATAGATTTTTTTTAAGTTGGCTGAATAGAGGAGTCTGGTGTAGAACGCATTTAAAGACAGATTATTTTTATTTTTAATCCAAAAATGAGTGGGGTTTTTTTTTGTACAGTTTAGGCTTAATTACACCTTTGACTGTGTTCTCTCAGAAAATTTCCTTTTGTATTTATACTACAGTTAATGATTAACCGATTACTAACTTAGATTATTTCAATAACTGATTAATGATGATTAGATCTTTGGGTCGCCCCAGTCTGAGGTCAAGGTTTTCATGTAGGATGTCTCTGTTCATCACCACATTCATCTTTCCCTCCATCCTGACTAATCTGCCAGTTTCTGCTGCTGCACATACCCACAGCATGATGCCACCACCACCATGCCTCACTGTAGGGATGGTGGAGTTTTCTACAAACAGCCTGGAATGATACTTTAGTATGAAGCATAAGGTCTGTCAATAATTATGTAAATGTGATTTTTGATAAATTTTCACATTCTCAAAATAGGTTATTTGGGTGTAGAATTTTTAATTAGAATTTTAGAAAAAAATTCTAATTAAAAAAAAATTAGTTACCAAACAATGTAGTCAAATTGAGTTTATTATTCAAGTTAATTAAAAAGTTTTGGTGACTTGTCATGACGTGTCATTCAGTAAATAATGACACTTTTAATGCAACATGGAACAACCCCAATTAATTAAAATAATAATTTAATTATTTAATTTAATATAACATGGAACAAGCTGCAACAAAAAAAAATGAAAAGGTTTCATTTGAAAAAATGTCTTCGGTTAGAAGCTTCTTCAAATTCGCTGTGATATGGACTGCTACAGGAGATTTTTCTTGCCAACAGCCATCACCAACTTTTTTGAAGAATCTTGAATTAATATGAATTACAGCAACATTTATTTTCCCTTTGTTATCAGGAAAGTATTTTTGAATTGAAGCTCTTACAGTAAATATTTATTTCAAGCATTCCATAGTAATAATTACTGGATTGTGTAAAATTGTGTTGGGGAACAGATGTGTGAATTCAGACAGATCTAGAGCACCACATTTAATAAATAAACCATTTCTTGACCACAGTATCTGGAATATAACCAAAAAGGACACTAATATAGTAAAGCAGTCATATTTTAGGACAGGATCAATCATAAAAAATATATACATTTAAGTTTCAAAAGCATCACTAGGTGTCCAAACAAAAATATATAATTTTTTTATTCAAAATATTTTAGAACAGTTCCACAGATATTTCCATTAAAATCAACATGAAGAAAACACATGACCAGTTTTTCTTCTGAAATAATAAAATAATAATGACAAAAGTAGGCGTCTCAGTGTGGAGAAAACGTGAAGCGGATTCTCTCCATTCACAGCCTAATGGCTTGAAACACATGTCTAGTCAAAGTAAAACCTGATGAAACTCAAAACCTCTCAATGTAAATTTACCCTTTTAGCATCTGAAGAATGCGTTCATGCGCCTGAAGTGCTCAACTTTTCTTTTCTGTCTGTGATCGCTCCGGCTGGAGTCCAGTCCAGAGATTTCCTCCATCAAGCATGAAAACCTGGACAACCCCGGCGAGACATTCCCCAACCTGCCCGCCAGCCAGGGTGCAGTTTCAATCTTCTTCTTCTACTCTCTCATTCAGCCTTTATCATAGGCTTCAGTTCTTCTTCTCTGTCCTCCTCCTCATCATCATCGGTGTCGAAGAACTCGTCCTCAAAAAAGCTTCCTCCAAAACCGTATTCCTGCGCGTGGACAGACACCTCGTTTGATTTCAAGTGCGGGGATCCTTCGATAAAATCGGCAAACCTGTTGATGATGGAGATGATGTTAATTTAACAGCCGAAACCGAGTCTGTGTAACCCTGTGGTCCATCCCATTAGATCGAGCCGACTCACTGCTTCCCTATTTCTCTCCTAGATGATGCCGCTCACACTGATGCTGGTTCTGCTCCAGGTTTCTTCCTGTTAAAAGAGAGTTGTTCCTCTCCACCGTCACCACATGCTTGCTCAGAATGACGAGTTACTGCTGACTAAATGATCCCCAACTGGCGATTTTTACCTGAATTTGACTGAATTGCTTTATAACTAGGATGAAATTAGGATTTCTATATGAATAGATCATATTTTGTTTGATTATACAGCTCTGGAAAAAATTCAGACACCACTTAAAATTATCAGTTTCTCAGATTTTACTTTTTATAGGTAAATATTTGAGAAAAAGGAACATTGCTCATTTAGTCTATAAACTACTGACAACATACAGGGTTTCCCATAGTGTATCATAAGCCTGGCGGGCCACCAGGCTTTACTTGTGCCCCCACCAGACTTAGCATTGCTTATTTATTTCAGTTTTAAAAAAATATTGGCATTTTTTAAGACTATAGCGTATAAATATCAAGTGATATTTTCAAATTTCCTGTCAATTTTAGACATTTTTAACTCAAAAACATGACGGGCCGCTGAATGAATGACAGCTTGAGCGCTCCAAACACCAGGCCTAGAAGGTTTTCTAGGGGAAACCTTGACATGTCTGAAATTCCAAGCAAAATTTTTGTTTTTATTTGCCAAAATAACGAAAAAGATGCAGAGCTTTCAGACCTCAAATGCAAAGAAAACAAGTTCATATTAATATAGAAACAACAACACGTTTTCACTCAGGAAGAGTTCAGAAATCAAGATTTGGAGGGAAAAGCCAGAAGGTTTTCAGTCGGGTTCAGTGCTGTGGGCTCTTAGTTTTTTTCCAGAGCTTTATTTTTCTCTACTGTATTTTGGGGTGACATTTATTCGTGCTTTAGAAATAAGTTGAATTAATTGCTTCACAAATTTACAAGGAAACTATTTACAAACTAAAAATGTGTTTTAAATAAAAAGTGCAACA